AGCCAAAACCCCACAGAACTTGAGCAGCAGGATTGCTTGCTGCCGTCCCAAGGCACAGAAACAGTAAAGCAGCATTTCTGAACGCTGTTAAAATACTTGTGTGTCCTTTAAATGTCACAAAATATGACATTTCTCTCCTTCCACTCCACAGCAAAAGCCTTGCTCTGCCACCCTGGTTTGGATTGTCCTGATTTTGAAGAGACCCAGGAGAGAGGCATCTTGGTACAAAGCTGCAAAAACCCAACCCCTTCTAACTAACGCTGCCGGCAGCGACGCCGCGAGCACGGGCTACTCAGTCCCTGAATTAAGATCTTTCACGATTCCCCACGTTACAAAAGCTAAAGGGGCAACTGCAAAGTTGGAAACGATTTTACATGCTCGTCCATCAACAGCTCCAGAGCATTATCCGCTCGCGCAGCCGCCTCGGCGCTAACAAAACGCAGGCGGCGAGGACCCGGGGGTGGGTGCGACCAAACCCAAACCCTCCTCATTTGTTGTTCAGAGAGTTTTTGGGCACGGATTAAGCTGAATTTGTGGCAGCCTATTGAAGGGCCAGGCACTGCCAGGTGCTGCTGCTCTCCATGTGCAGCTCAGCCTTTGTTTCCTGCCTTATATTCTTACCGAGAGACTGACTGGAAACCCAGGCCCTCTCCCCTCCTCCTCCTCCTCCTCCCTCATTACACAAGTCTCCACCCCTCCACTCTCCCCATTTAGCCTACACAGGATCTGCACAACTTGGAAAGCAAAGAGATAAAAGACAAAAAACCCCCCTGAATACACCCAGATGTCACCTGCCTTTAAAGAAATGGAGACAGGAATAACCCAGGTACAAAGGGGGGTCCAAGCACACGCCCAAGGCCTCATTTCCTCAGCGGAGGGGTTACAGGTATAATGCAAAATGTTTTTCCTTCTCCATTTCAGTTGTGCTCCTGGTCAGAGCTGGGGAATTACAGCCCACCCCAGACTCATCCCACACAATCCCAGAATTGCCTGGATTGGAAAAGCCCTTTAAGATCATCAAGTCCAACCATGAACCCAACACTGACAAGTCCCCGACTAACCCATGTCCCTCAGCACTGT